AGAAATCGCAAAAAAAGGTTTAAACATTCGAAATACGGTAAAAATTCTCAAGAATGACTTATTTGATGAGTTATAACATCTTTGAAAGACTACCTATGTTTAATCAAAGGAGATTTAACCTGATTGGACCCATTCTTCACACATATCCATGCTTTTTTTCAAGTGATATTTCATGTAGCTAGTAGAGAGCATATTCGTTATTTGAAAATGTACAATGATTGAATCTCAATGAGGGGACACTCCTTCTAAAAGACAACTCTCTACAAAGGACAATTTTTATCACCAAATCGGACATTTTTAACATTTTTTTTTAAACCAGAAAAAAAAAAAATGCCCCAATGGCCCCCGATTCTTGCAAAAGTCCAAACCCACCAGCGAGTGCAAGTAACCAAACGGGTCTCTGGCACATTTGTAAGTGCAAAATCGAACTGCTTTTCACATGTGTAGACATGTGGTGCGCTTATAATAAAAGCAGTCGCTAACTACCCACCATGAATATCAAGGCCTGTACCACGTGTACTAGGGATAAGTAAAAAAAAAAAGGTGCTCTATGGTAAGTGGACACCTCTCTCTAAAGAACGTTTGGTCTCTGTGTGCTATCTTTTAGAGAGAGGTATTTCTACTGTATATTGAGATATGATATTTGAATGCTTGAGATATAGTGAAAATTCTCAAGAGTGATTATATCGAGTGACCACTTTTATAAAATATTAATAGTTGACTCATGGACAAAACTTAAGGAAGTGGAATGTCTTTAAATTTTGCCGGTCGTCTGTTTTTTTGAAGGAGACAGAGTTTGTTCACACTTGGTTATCTCGTGTGTCTTTAATAAATGTCACTGTAATATCTTTCAGAATTATTGTCTGAACCCCGATATACATGCTGAAAGGTACAACTTCCTTAAGTTTTGTCCATGAGTGTATCTTTCAGAACTATTGTCTGAATCCCGATATACATGCTGAAAGGTACAACTTCCTTAATTTTTGTCCATGAGTGTATCTTTCAGAGTTATTATCTGAATCCCGATATACATGGTAAAAGGTACAACTTCCTTAATTTTTCTCCATGAGTGTATCTTTCAGGGTTATTGTCTGAATCCCGATATACATGCTAAAAGGTACAACTTCCTTAAGTTTTGTCCATGAGTGTATCTTTCAGAACTATTATCTGAATCCCGATATACATGCTGAAAGGTACAACTTCCTTAAGTTTTGTCCATGAGTGTAATATCTTTCAGAGTTATTGTCTGAATCGCGATATACATGCTGAAAGGTACAACATCCTTAAGTTTTGTCCATGAGTGTAATATCTCTCAGAGATATTGTCTGAATCCCGATATATATGCTGAAAGGTACAACATCCTTAAGTTTTGTTCATGAGTGTATATATAATCCTCATCTCTCGTGAGCTAATGATCCCTCATAACCTCTCTAGAGAAGCTCCTATGACAATTCAGATAATCCCGGTGTCAACAATGATAGAACAATATTAATACTATGCAATGTAAGCAATTGTAAATAATTGAATGTAATTCTACTGTCCTATAAGCTTATGTCCATAGTTTTCTCGAAAACTATTTCAAAGATTCCACCCTTCAGTGCTGCGTATATAAGCAGAATCGTCCAATACAGTATTAGAGCTCTGAGAAGCGGTCTGGTGGATTAAATTCGCGAAACCGCTGGGAGGGTTCACCAGTGATGAGCCAGGCCTTCCCAATATATTTTTTCATCGCAGTAAGGACAGTAGAAGTTTGTATTATGTATAAAAGAAACATTCGTGCTTTTAAATCCTTTCATTTTATATGTATAGACCAATATATAAACAGTAAACTGATGGCAAATTGAAGGTATAAAACCAGAGAGGAAAATATGGGTTAGGACATTTCAACAATAAATAGGGTGGCTTGGTAAAGAGTAGCGATATAAACCGTTGAGGATTTCGATAGCCACGACATGGTATCGTATCCCATATTGAGCCATATTTTTTCTACGAAGAAAAAAAAATTGCTTCAATGGCTTCCTATTCTTTGAAAAAGTCCAACCACACCAGTGAGTAGAAGTAACCTAACCGAATTATCTGGCAAACTTGTAAGTTCAAAAGTCGAACTGCTTTCTAAATTGTCACAGAAGCTTCTCTTGAGAGGGCATAAACTCACGAGAAATGAGGAATGCAAATTCAAAGACTAAACTTGAAGAAATTGTACCTTTTAGCATGTATATCGGGATTTAGATAATAACTCTGAAAGATAGTTGGTTCATGGACATATGTGACAATTACAGTAAAATAATTCGTTAAATACTAATCATCAATGATTATCATGGCCTCTGTACCACATATGTACTTGGAGAATAATAAAAAATAAAGATAATGAGAAAGATAAAAAATATTGCAATATGATTAATAGAAGTAAAGAAAATAAGAAGGTTGAACTGTTAATAATAGTGATTTAAAAAATTAAACACACAGATAACATTTAACTAAAAAGGCATATATGTCGGATTTGGGTGTATCCTGTCGACTCTCTGACGGATCCTGTTGAATCCTGGTGAATTGTGTGGTTGGGTTGCTATGATTGGTGATTGGTTGTTGATTTGTCATGCTTAAATGTGATTGGCTTAGTACCTTCATTGCCGCCATGATTGCAATCTTCCAGGAAGAAGAAGACCTTTGAACTTAAGTTTTATGGGTCCAGGGCAGTGACCTTTACTTCCTGGATGATGCAATCCTGTTAATTGTTCTTTCCCTTTTCGCGAAGCCTAACTTTTATTAAATCTTTTGACGATACATTACATAGATTGTGGTGTGGTTACATATTCATATATACAGATTATCACATATATATATTGGATAAAAAAATTATTTATTTACCAATATTTTAGTTGGCTAAACGCCAACATTTTTCAAGTTACAAATTATTTATATGCCGTAATAATGCCGGTCAAGCAAGTAAAAATTCTGGGAATGAAATTTTCTAATCACAAATGGAAAAACAAAGTTAACTTTACACCGCATGTTAATGATATTCTGTGTAAGGCAGGACGTATGAAAAATTTATTATGTTCACTAAGTGGCAATATGTCGGGTTTAGACACTGAAAAGAGGTTAACTTTATTCAAAACAATCATTAGGCCTGTACTTACATACGGTTCTGAAATTTGGTTCAAATATTTAAACAATCGTTGTAAACAAAAACTGAACTCCATGCAGTACCAGATCATTTTATGGGCAGTTAGAGCATACAAAACCACTTCATCAAACTGTGTGCATAGCTTGGCAAAAATTCCACTCCTAACAGATTATATAGAATCCAGAATAATCAAATTTGATCTAGCTCAAATGTCCATTGAAGATCTAATTACTTACGAACCCCATGCTCCAAGTATAGTCAAATCATTCTTACACGCAAAAATGAATGAAATTTTTGAGAACACTAATGAAATTTTCAGAAGCTTTTTCGTATTAGGAATTCCAAGATTTTTCCGTCCAAATTTTTATAATATCCAATTCATTACAGATCATGGCAATTTTGGGAAATTTTCGGCAACTATCGGCGCCGTGAAGGAACCAGGATGCTTCTGCGGAGGTGAAATTCAAGACGCGAGACATCTACTTCTGGAGTGCCCAATTTTCCGGGATTTTAGGGAAAATAGATTTGGTCGTATTGGACAGCTTGATGAATTTGTAGACAAAAAAGAAAAGTATAAAAATTTTGATCAATTTTGTAAATACATATACAACTTTCTCTTGAATTGGAAAAAAGAGAAGGAATCTTAGAAAAAAAAAAGAACTGCGATGCTTGCTCTGTGTGTTTTGCTTTGTTGTTTGTTTTTCTCTTTGGATAATTTTCTTTAGTTAATTTATGTAAAATAATGAATTGAACAGGATTGTATATAGCCGAATTGCTGTAATGCAGTGAAATGTATTGGCGCAAATATCCCTGAGTTTGGGATATCGCGTTTCATGATGTTAATAAAGTTAATAAAGTTAATAATCACATATATATATTGGATAAAAAAATTATTTATTTACCAATATTTTAGTTGGCTAAACGCCAACATTTTTCAAGGTACAATTTATTTATGTATCTTTAAAAAGGTTGGCGTTCAGCCAACTAAAATATTGGTGAATGTATTATTTTTTTAAATCCAATATATGCCTTTTTAATTAAATATATATTTATGGATTTCTTTATTTTCAAAAAGATAACATTTGAAAGACTTAAATTAATGCGATGGTGAGAGTGTTTTACAATTTCAAATGGAATTGGTACATTTAAAAACGGCGGTGCCTGGAGCTTCGCACTCACTCCTCTTGGAGCGTGGAGGGGGGTGTGAGATTCTTGGAGTGTTGGGAGGTCTCTCGGTCTACCGACTGGAGCCTTCGTCCTGGTGGAGCTTCTTTAGTGTGTGTCCCCCTCCAGCCCGGGCACAAAAAAAAAAAGATAAAGAGAATTTTTTTTTTAAATACAGGCCTATCTCTATCATCTCTATATCTATCGCACTATCTCTATATAAAATGAGGCCAACCTATATCCTAAGAAAATAAAATGTTCTGTTTCAGATCCGAAGATATCCAGAAACAAAATCAAGAAACCCAGAAATCCATTCCTGAACTCACAGATGCAGGTAACTTACAATACAGTAAATGACTGCACGTACTCTAATTCTTTTTATTGGTTCTTTTCCCTCAATGGTCATAACCGTAAAATGAGTGATCATTTGAAAGTGCTTACTAATGCCTAATAACACAATAACATTACAATTTCCTACACTTTCTTTAAGTCAAATTCTTTTTTTTTAGTATTCGATAAATTAGAACGATATTTGAAAATATCTCGCATGCGTTTCTTTTGAACGAAAAATCGAAATTTATTTTAAGGAGAAATAACGATTATTTCTAACCTCAGGGATGAAGTATGAAAGGATGAATTGTGAAGAGTAATGATAAACGGAAAAATAAATGTGTCTAGGGATGGGAATCGAACCCACAGTGTTCCGCTTACCTAGGCTTAAGCCTAGTGGACATGGCATCTGCCCAGTAAGCGTAATATGGTAGGTTCGATTCCCATCCCTGGACACTTTTATTTTTCTGCTTATCATTACTCTTCACAATTCATTCTTTCATACCTCATCCCTAAAGGTTAGAAATAATCGTTATTTCTCCTTGAAATAAATTTTCGATTTTTCATTCAAAAAGAAACACATGCGGATAGTTTTCAAATGTCGTTTTACAATCATAAACCACATTATATTGCATCATATATAATGTATGTTTTATGAATGTTGTGTCCCCAGGTGAATTGAAGAATGTGGTCGGACTAGACATGAAAGAATGTCTGGCAGTGGAAATGGTGGGTGGCAAAGCAGCTTCTCTGGCCAAATTGGTGAGATTACAAGACAGACTTCAGGTAGGTTGACTTCCTTAGACATTCTATCGCATTAACTAGATCATCAGCCTTCCATTTTATCACTTAGGATATAAAGGATACAATATCAATCTATAGGTATATAAAAATGTAAACTATTTCAATCAATACCTTTATTTATAAATTCAATTACCAATTATCGATAAAATTTGTAACAAATAATGTAACAAATTTACTGGCAATATGTTTCTTTTCATAATATTTATATTTGATGATATTAATGAAAAGAAACACATTTCCAGTAAATTTATTTGTTAAAAATTTTATTAATACTTTTATTTTGATCTTTAGTCTTATATGCAGATTCTTCTGAGAGATATACAGCAAATGAGTGAAAAAAGAGGTTAAAAGAAATTATAATAAACAAAGTTATATATTGTGAATATGTATATATGGAGCTATGATTATTTTGATATTAAACCATATACAATGGATATAGATTCAATCCCCCAATAAATCATCACCTTCAGAGAACTAGGATAATCCATGTTTTTGGGGCGGTATCTCATGCGAAGTTCAATCTAAGGTGATTCGATTTTTGAAAATTACGATCGAAAAGATGTTGAATTTTAAAAAGAAGATAATAGAAGACAATGTGAAAAATAGTAATAAAGTGAAATTGAACTGGAATCAGGTAGATAAATTAAGAAAAATACATCTTCTGATCGTGTAACTAAAAATTACTGATGGCTTGCGATATTTGCCGAAATGAATAACAACTAATCTTTGATTTCTAATTATTCCAGAATGCTCCAAAGACCAGCTTTTTGGTCGTTGAGGTATAGCTTGCACCACGCTGATGAGAGCCAATAGCTTAAAATGCGTACATGGTTAGCTTTTCTTGATTAATCAAGAATGGGTATTTGACCAATTCTGGAATAAATGAAGATCAACGATTAGTTGACATTCATTTCGATAGATGGCGAAAGTTATCAGAAACTTTTAGTTGCATAATTTGGATAGTCCTGTTTGTTTCGGATGCGATCACTGCCTCATTTACTAAGCTCGGAGAGCTTGCCGCATCCTGGATATTGTCTGGTCTTATCTAAATAGTTATGGCAGAGCTTGACTGTATCTTCTTGCCGGACTTCTGGTCTCCAACCGAATTGAAGTTTGTTTGCTTCCCTAAAAGTGCCCACAACACCAGAAACCCTGGTGACACTAATAATTCACCAACACCCAATTGTTACTGACACACTTTTATTAAACTTACACATCCTTATATGCAGAATTATATTTACAAATATGTAAATATTCTGGTCGTATAAGCAAAAAAAGAGAGAAATTTACATAACCGGCTTCTCCACCTGTTTATTAATAATATAGAAAGTTACGAGAGAAATTCAAGATATCTGAAGATGAAGGTTTGTTTCACAGAAGGAGAAAGAGCAGCGTGTGGCTCCAGAATTCTCTGTTCCCCGTGGTCTTGCAGTCACTACGGTTGCCTACCGCAAACATCTGGAAGCCCATGATGAGCTTCGGTCTGGTATTGAGGCTCTGAGGTCTTCTATTAGGTAAGTGGCTGCGTCTATTGTCTCTTGATCTTCATCTTTTGTTTGTCCCAGATGCAATGACCCAGTCAGCTTACGTGGGAAATGTGAAAGGTAAGTAGCTTGGCAGGATAAAACTATAGACAATTACACTCATCGACAAAACTTAAGAAAGTGGAAAATCTTTTATATCGTCGATCATCCGTTTTCTTGAAGGAGACAAAGGCAATTCTGCTTACACTTGGTTATCTCGCGTGTCTTCAATTAGGTAAATGTGTGTCAAATTTCTTTCATAGTTATTGTCTCTTCTTTTTTATCTCCACTCAACAACCATATTAGGGTATCAAACTTGTAGAGCTTGGGAATTTTGATGGTGTCTGCTGGAGATGAGTAGAGCTCAACAAAGTAGATTCATCCTAGGCTCATCAGGAGTCCTTACAGGTTACTATCAGCCAGGCCAGATGAACTCAGGTTTTTTAGCGAGCTTGTTATTGCTCCCACCCTTTCATCCGGGCTTGGGACCGGCAAAGGCAGAGTTAAGTTATTGTCAGAATACTGATATACATGCTGAAAGGTAAAACTTCTTATGTTTTGTCCATGAGTGTATTCAGTCGAGGAGGCATTCTCAACGATGAAGAGTTCTTCTTCAGATAATCACAGAGGGTCTTCGTTAACTCCACTGACATCAAGCCTTAGGAAAACTTGAGGAATGGATGCCTTGGTTGACGTGTGAATGGGTGAAATTCACCATCAAGGATTAGAGTAAAACCTCCCATGACAGGCCGTCTATAATATATGGAAACTGCGCAGTATATCCCAGGGATAATCTCCAAGTATATATATAATAGTTAGATTAGATCAAGTTACCATTTTACCAAAGTGATCTCTTAAAGAAGCAGTCGCTGGAGACCCGCTGGCGATTCTCCACCAAACTCTGCAGCGCTGGCAGAGGCGCCATGTTCTTTATACATAGTATAATGCATATATATATTAATATATTTTTTAAAATAGTTCAGAATGTGCACTTTGCATGTATTGACAAGATATCAATAAAATTATTTTAATTGTCAATTGTCAAAGAAGTAGTCGCTTGTCAGATGAATTTATCATGGGCTATTTTTACTGTATCTTTGCGTCCAAATTGGATTACTGTATTTTGACCTAGATTTTACTGTATCTTCACATTCAAACAGTATTATTGAATCACTGTGACCAAGAAGGTTTTACGATATTTCTGTGTTAAAACTGGAATGCAGTATCTTTGAATCCAAGGTTTTTCGGCAACTGTGTTCAAACAGGCTTTACTGCATCTTTGTATCCAAACTGGAATATTGTATATTTTTGTGACCAAGAAGGCTTTACTGTACCTTTGTGTCTAAACAGATTTTACTGCATCACTGTCTAAACAGACTTTACTGTATATTCGTGCCCAAACAGAAATACTGTATATTTTTGTGACCAAGAAGGCTTTACTGTACCTTTGTGTCTAACCAGATTTTACTGCATCTCTGTCTAAACAGGCTTTACTGTACTTTGTGCCCAAACAAGAATACTGAATATTTTTGTGACCAAGCAGGCTTCACTGTACCTTTGTGTCTAACCAGATTTTACTGCATCACAGTTTAAACAGGTTTTACTGTATCTTTGTGCCCAAACAAGAATACTGTATATTTTTGTGACCAAGAAGGCTTCACTGTACCTTTGTGTCTAACCAGATTTTACTGCATCACAGTTTAAACAGGTTTTACTGTATCTTTATGCCCAAACAAGAATACTGTATATTTTTGTGACCAAGAAGGCTTTTTTGTATCTTTGTGTCTAAGCAGATTTTACTGCATCACAGTTTAAACAGGATTTCCTATATCTTTGTGCCCAAACAAGAATACTGTATATTTTTGTGATCAAGAAGGTTTTACTGTAACTTTGTGTTTAACCAGATTTTACTGTATCACAGTTTAAACAGGTTTTACTGTATCTTTATGCCCAAACAAGAATATTGTATATTTTTGTGACCAAGAAGACTTTACTGTACCTTTGTGTCCAAACAGATTTTACTGCATCTTCGCAACCAAACAGTATTTTTGAAATTTTGTGGTCATGAAGGTTTTACTGTATTTTTGTGTTCGAATTGGAATGCAGTATATTTGTGTCCAAGGTTTTTTGGCACCTGTGTTCAAACAGGCTTTACTGCAATTTTATGCTCAAACAAGAATACTGTATATTTTTGTGACCAAGAAGACTTTACTGTACCTTTGTGTCTAACCAGATTTTACTGTAAATCTTAGTTAACACGATACGGTCACTAAGAAGCGAGATCGTGCAGCCTAGTCCAGCAATTCTACAAGACGTCGCTGTCTTCAGCGCTCCAACGAGAGATACAGGATGAACTCCAGCGGACTGTGGGGTCCCTTACGGTCGCAGTGGCTGTACGGTCTTCCGCACTGGGTGAGTAGTCCTGTGTAAGTCCAACTGAAATCCTGGGACTGACCGGGGATTCAGGGGAAGATGGTGAGGAGCTCTCCGCTGCTGGTCAGATGGATACATTCCTGGGCCTCAGAGGACTGGATAAGGTTGGTGCCTCTGTCAATATTTATTTCTTTTACATTTGTCTTTTATTTCTTTCGCTTCTCGGCCTTTAAGCTAAGATCAACCTTCTTAGCTTTTGTTCTTTGCGATAATAAGCTGTGAACACTTACAATAGGTAGTAGAGAATACTATTAGATATGGAAACTCATCAATATTTGAAAAAAATCAATTGCATTCCTCTTTTTCGGTAACAAGTCTCTCATTTATTTATTTCTTTCGCTTCTCGGCTTTTAGGCTAAGATCAACGTTTCTAGCTTTCGTTTTTAGCGATAATATGCTGTTAATACCTATAATAGGTAGTAGAGAATACCATTAGATATGGAAACTCATCAATATTAAAAAAAAGCAATTACAGTCCTCTTTTTCGGTAACAAGTCTCTCATTTATTTATTTCTTTCGCTTCTCGGCTTTTAGGCTAAGATCAACGTTCCTAGCTTTTGTTCTTTGCGATAATAAGCTGTGAACACTTACAATAGGTAGTAGAGAATACTATTGGATATGGAAACTCATCAATATTTTTTAAAAATTCAATTACAGTCCTCTCTTTCGGTAACATAGTCTCTCATTTATTTATTT